CAGGTGGAAAAGCCTGAAAATTCAAATCATCTCACTCTAAAGCTAGCCCACTCTTCCCACAAAATCATACTCCTACGATAAACCCGGGGAATCACACAATCAGCCCAAACTGCATTTTCTTTTCTTTTTTCTTTTTCTTTTTTTTAAGCTCATTAGATTGTTTTAAAACTTCCAAGTAGTAGTGGTTTGGGAGAATGTCAACAGGACACAACCAAATCTGCAATCAATTCCTTAGGCTGGGGGAAAAAAAAAAAAAACACGAAATCTACTCAGTTCTGGGCCAAACTTAGAATTGAGAAGTACTTCAGTCCACCAATTTGGGACACCACTCTCTCAAAAAAAGTATTCATGGGAAAATGATATCTTCCTTTCTCTCAATAAATTTCTCAGTAGAAAACAGAAGCATTCAAAGCCATCCCACTGATTCTTCTTCTGAAATATAGTCATTTCAATAACATGTAGAATCTATGATATACTTTTCTTTAAAAAACAAATGGTATAAAATGGTGGTTCAAAGTTTCATAGAGAAACTTTTTTTCTAATCTTCTGTGTATATGAAATGCTCTTTTTTGGTGCTGAAGTTTAGAAAAAAAAAGTTGAGGTTTTTTTGTTTTGTTTTGTTTAATAAAAGCAGTCTTGTTAAGCTTCTAAATACTTAGCATATACTAAAGGTTTTAGTTGTGATAGTTGGGAAAGCAGGCTGAGCGGAGTTGTCAGATTTGCCCAGGATTACACCACTAGCACTTTTCTCACATGCCTCACTTATCTAGAATTATTAGGGAATCACAAGAGAGAATTTCCTCATTCCCTATAGCAATGAAACCAGAGGTCCAGTTCCTAGCCTCTAGCATGATAAAGGAACTGGGAAGTCTAGATAAGAAATTCTTCTGATAATTATTAGTACACACTATTTTTAACCTTTCTTGATGGAAATACTCCACCTTAGGGAGCATTCTGAACATCATTTCACTGTCTCTTTCTCTTCACACACACTACAGTACAGTCAAACTAGTCTTTTTACTATTCCTTATTAAGTAGCCTTCTCTCTCCTTGCCATCTCCTATCTTTGCCTTTGCACTCTGCACTGGCTGTTCCCCACACTGGGATGCATTTCCTCTTCATTTCCTCCTCTTAGTATCCCTAGTGCCAAAGACATCTTCTAGATAAAGCCTTTCCTGATTTCCTCCAGTTCCTAGTACATTTCCCCCACACAAAATTAATTTTTATGTATTTCTGCATTTATTTCATATGTTGTTGTTCAATTGTTTTTGAGTTTTTGTGACCCATGCAATATATTGTCCGTGGGGTTTTCTTGGCAAAGATACTGGAGTGGTTTGCTATTTCCTTCTCCAGTAGATTAAGGCAAATAGAAGTTAAGTGACTTGCCCAGGTACCTGTAGTAGTACAAGTGGCTTTGACAGCTACTAAGGGTCTGAGGCTAGATTTGAACTCAGGTCACTCTTTCCATTGAGCCACCTAGCGGTCAATACAAGATAGCTGCCTATTTTACATATACATGTACATACATACACACACACACACACACACACACACACACACACACATTCTTCCCTAATAGTTCCTGGGCAACAGAGTATCTCTACAACTTAGGATGGTACCTACTACAGTTGTTGATGTTGTTATTGTTCAGTCATTTCAGTCATGTCTGACTCTTCGTGACCCCATTTGGAGTTTCCTTGGCAGAGATACTGGAGTGGTTTGCCATTTCCTTCTCCAGCTCATTTTACAGATGAGGCAACTGAGGCAAACAGGGGAAAGTGCCCAGGGTCACAGCTAATAAATGTCTGAGGCCACATCTGAACTCAGGTCCTCCTGACTCTAGGCTCAGTGCTCTCTCCACTGTGTTCCCTAGCTGCCCTGTCTACTACATAGTAGGTGCTTAATAAACATTTATTGGTTGATTGATCATTATAAACAATACCTACTATACCTACCCCAAGGCAGGAGTGGGGAACCTACTGTCTCTTGGCCCCCACGTGGCCTTCCAGGATGCGGCCTTTTGACTGTGTCCAAGTTTTGACAGGATCCAAAAATGTCCCCTTTTATTAAGGGAATTTGTTCTGCGAAGTTTGGACTCAGTCAAAGGGCCACACTTGAGGACCTAGAGGGCCACATGTGGCCTCAAGGCTGCAGATTCCCCATCCCTGCTCCAATGAATCCATGATTAACCTCAGTCTGCCCCTAAAACAGAGATAACAGCAACTACCTCCCAGGGTTGCCCCAAGCACCTTAGTTCCACTGCTTTCCCTCTCTTCTTTACTTCCCATTTAGCCTACAGATAGTTTGTTAGCATATATTTGTTTGCTTGCTGTCTTCCCCCTTAGACTGTGAATTTCTTGGGGACAGGGACCCTCTCTTGACTCTTTTTTTGCATACCCAATATTAACACAGCACCTGGCACATAGTAGACACTTAATAAACGTTCACTGACTGACTGATTTTGAGCATAAAATGAGATAACACTTGTAACAGTGCTTGCAAATCTTAAAAGTATTATTGTTATTATTATCTCATCACTGTGGGCACTCCCTCCAATGGTTTGAATCAGTTCTTCTACTGTGCTCTGACATCGTGAAACCCTTTGTATTTAGGGCTTAGCTTGCTCTTTGACTAAATTTTTGTTATTGTTCAGTTGTTTTCAGTCGTGTCCAACTCTTCATGACCCCTTTTGGGATTTTCTTGGCAAAGATACTAGAGTGGTGTGCCATTTCTTTCTCCCGCTCATTTTACAGATGAGAAACTGAGGAAAACAGGGTTCAGCGACTTGCCCAGGATCACCCAGCTAGTGAGTGTCTGAGACTGAATTTGAACTAAGGTCTTCCTGACTCCAGGCCTGATCCTTTATCCACTTTGAAACTGCAGCCTCCTTTAACTAAATGTCTCCAATTAATTATAGTGTTTAATTAATTAATTATAGGTTTATTGAGGGTACTAATGTGCTCTCTTCCCCCAGTAATGCCTTCAAGAACTACTGAAACGTGGCATAATATTTAAGTATGTCAGGGCCCATAAGAAAGGCACTATGAATAAAAAATAATTTATTTTTTCAATACTGCACAGCATTATATTGTAAAAAAGTATCAGATTTTAGATTCAGATCCTGGCCCTGACTCTTTTCAGCTCTGTGATTTCACTCACTTTATCTCAGGTTCCTGCTCTGTAAAAAGAGATGATAATATTTGTCCTATTTATTTCACAGAGTTATTTGGGGGGGGGAAGTGCTTTCTAAACCTTACATATTAAATATTCTAACATAGTAATCCACATGTTTATCTCCCTTGACATAGTAGATTAATTTCCCAAAAGGTATGTCTGCATAAATCAAATTTGTTCAAGCCATTCAAGTGCACAAGGAAATCTGGGATCTGGCTATTTAAAGATGAATCCTTTTGCAAAGCGAAAAATTACCTGTATGTAAATACAGATTTCCATACACAGTTTACACCATGTTTCTCAGGGAGTGGTCAGACTGACTCCAACCTCAACCTTTCAGGTTAGTCAAAGTTAGGAAGTAAGTAAAAATATCTCAAATCCAAATTCATTTTACTCCTTCTAAAAAGAAAGCATCTTTGCATTTCAGGACAACTGAAATGCAAGCAGTCATGGGAGCAAAAATCATTTCTGGCTGTATAGACATACTCGTCTCTTTATAAATATTTAAGACTGTGGGCATTTCTGAAGGACTGCTTTGCTATCCCAGTAGACACATTTCATACTGCAATGTAAAAACACTGTTGAATTTCCCTAATTAGACTTTTCACAGGCAAATAGTTACGTCTGAACTGCCTTATTGAAGAAACAGGCAAGGAATTTTAAGCAAAAGCAAAACTCTGAAAGCCTATTTTTAAAATCACCCCCTATCATGCTAAGAACTGAAAAGTCACCTGACCCCCTACTCCTACATCAGCAGCTGAGTCACAGCCCCTTCCTCCTCCGGCAAACCCCCGAGCTTCCATTCAGTCCTTTAAAAAAAATGAGGAAAGCTAGAGTGTTTCATTAATCAATTTAGAGTTTTTCCTCCCAATAAAAACCAGTTTATTCTTAGAAATGCTGCCACTGTCCTCCCTTTACAATTAGAAGCCCAAAGCTTCCAGAACTCTGGCGGCTTCATTCTGAGAAACCACATTTCTAAAAATAAGCTATTTAATTAAAAAACAACAATAACACTGATCCAGGAGGAACATTTCTATTCTAAACCAGTTCCCTCTAAACTGAAAAATCCTGCAAAATAAAATTAAGAAAAAACAGATTTCCAAAAAACTAATGAATGAAGTGCCAACAAGCACTCTAATGGGTTAATTAACAGGAAGTTTCCATGTTTGAGCAAGTCTTGGCCTTGATAAAATTTTGGGAGCTGAAAGCTGATTGAAAAAAAAACAAAACAAAAAACCAGCAATGGTATTTTGTTCAATTGCTCATTATTTAAACACTCTAACAACAGCCTAGAAATACTTTGCATTTTAGCTCAACAGACCAGGTCTGTTCCCCATTTCTGTCCTTGTAATTGCAATCTTTTCATTTCTCAATGAAGATGGCCTTTCCTTTTTGTAATCTTTTTTTTTTTTAAATTAGGAAGTGAGCCAAGGCGTCAAAGGCTATATAACCCAGCACTCCTTGTCTGCCTATCTTTTGCACAGCTAAGAAAGGAGTGTCCAGGAAGGGAATGAATGCCCAACCTCCCTCCACCCCCACCCCCATCCTTTACAGCCAGGGCTTGCACTAGGACACCTGAACAATGGGCCTTGCTCAGCCCCCCAGCTCCAGTTGGCAGAGCCTCTGCTAAGGGTGCCAGCCAGGAGACTCCTGCTCTGCCAGCACACAGCCAGGGGCACCTGCATTGCCTAAAGCCCGCCCCGCACAAAGTGACAAGACCCAGCTTCTTCCTAACTGTGCAAAACAACACAGAATGACGGCAGGGGAAAACAGGGACAAAAACAAAAGCCAACACCCGACGAGGTTTTGGAAATGAGGCCTCTTACCTGCAATGCAACATCGCTCAGCCTAGCCCCACGGAGAGAGCATCCTTTCTCTAGGGCTAGGGCTGCCAACGCAGTGACGTCATGGGGCGGGAGCAGGGAGCGCCACGTGACCGAGTCCCTGGGGAAATGCGGAGAGTGACAGGCTGTGAGTCCTCCCAGATCAATGAGAAGTGGGCTTGGGAGAGGCTCCTCCTTTTGGTTTTGGTTGTTTGTTTCTTTTTTTTATCTCGCACCAAGCCTTCTTCAAGCTGTTTGGCTGAAACCTTCTGGATCTCTCTTTTGCAAACAGCTGTTTGCTACGTTTGTCAGAAAGAAGAAAAGGAAAACTGAATTATTTTTGAGCCTGTAAATTTAAGTCCTCAGATCACACTATGATTTTCAAGAGAAGGAAGTGAAAGCATTATTTATAAGGATCACAAGTCAACAAGCATTTATGAAGTGCCTACTATGTTCCGGGCAATGTGCAAAATGCTTGGGATGCAAAGAAAAGCAAAAACAAGCAAACAAAATGAAATGACTTATTTCAAAAAAAAAAAAAACCAGTATGTTAAATTAAGCAGAAATAATGTACCTGTGTAGTTTCATATTCATATTAAAATGACACCAAACATGGTAAGCATGCATTCATTCAACTTTTTGGATTTCTGATATCTTAATTTGTTTTGTTTTGTTGCTAGGCAATGGGGTTAAGTGACTTGCCCCAGGGTCACACAGCTAGTAAGTGTCAAGTGTTTGGTCTGAGGCCGCATTTGAACTCAGGTCCTCCTGACTCCAGGGCCGGTGTTCTATTCACTGCGCCACCTACCTATCCCTGATATGTTAATCTGAAGCCCATTCATGTCGGAATATTGCATTAATTATACCAGTAGAGTTGTTCTTTCAACTTCCTGTACACTTTTTACTTTTACTTTTAAATTACAAATCAGTAATTAGTATAAATGGTAAAAATCTCTGATATCTGCTATATATGAGATATGGTACCTATGAGAGATATCTATATTTATATACCTCCTGTCACTGAGAAGATAGTACCTGTCCTATATATATATAGGAGATAGCATATCTGTGATATCTCCTATATATGCAGTATCTTTCTTTATATAGGAGATATATATCATATCCTAAATACAGGAGAAATCACAGATAGGCTAACATATCCTAAATAGGAGATAACATATCTGTGAAATCTCCAATATACAGGGCAGTTTCTGTCCTATATATGAAGATATTATATATATCACATATCTTCGATATATAGGTGAGAGACATCACAGCCTGCCCTATATATAGGGCATATGAGATATCTTATTCTATAGATAGGAGATATCACAGATAAGACAGTACCTGTCCTATTTATAGGAAATAATATATATGTGATAACTCATATATATGTATATATACTCCTACATATAGGATATGTGATGTATATCATATTTGATATATAAGAGATAATAAAGTACCTGGCCTATATATAGGAAATATATAATATATACCATATCCTATAGAGAGGGGAGATATTACAGATAGGACAGTACCATCCTATACACAGGTGATAACATCTGTGAGATCTCCTATATAAACAGTTATAAATATTATAAATATAAATATATTATTTATAAAAATATTATAAATATAAATATAATCTCCATTATAAATAAGAGATATATATCTCCTATATGTAGGAGAAATCACAGATAGAACCGTACCTGTCCTATATATGGAAGATAACATACTTGCGATATCACACACACACATATATATCATAGATTTACACCACTCGTACTACTGATTTGTAACTTAAAATTATGATAAAAAAGTACTATGTATGTGTACATATAGATTTATCATGTGCTTAAATACTGACATAATTAATATAGTATTCCAGCATAAATGGGCTTCAGATTAAGTTATTAGAGATCATGAATGAATGCATGCATGTATACCAAATCTTTGGTATCATTTTAATAAGAAAATTACATATATGTGATATCACAGATTTACATAACTTTTACTAACAATTGATTTATAACTTAAAATTAAACAATGGACTATGTGCATATATGTGTTTACTTTTAAAGCAAGGAATTTTAATATGGTGATTTTCTAAGAACAAACTTCTAGTAATTACTGAGATAACTCACATTGTCATCATTTTATCATGATCTTAACAAGTGAGTCAACTTCCTAAGACAAAATATGTACAATGTCAACAGATCTCATTCACCACTGAAATTCAGACTGACTAGGAAACAAAATCTATTTGTGGTCACAGTTTTACTTGGAACATCTTGAAATAAATTCCTGAAACGCAGAGTTTATGTTGTAAATAGGTGGAATTTTTATACCATTTCAAATACAGTTGTTAGAAAATAAATGTTTTCAAAATATGTAAGCTCAAATGCAGTAGTAGCCTTCTTAGGACTTCATTTCTATTTTTATAGGATGTTCCATTACTTTCACTCTAATTTAAACTACAGTATTTTAATATTACTCTCTTTCCTGTTCCTTTTAAAAAATTATTTATTAATTTTCAATTCCAAATTCTCTCATTCCTTCCATCACCTCCCCCACCAATTGAGAAGGCAAGAAATTCTTGCCCCCTCCTAAAGAATTACAAAATAGTTGTAGTTTTGGGAAATAACATGGAGTTTTCCTAATGCCAGTTGGTATTTCCTTTCCTTTCTTATTTACTTTCTGATCCTTTTTTCAACTCTTTCAACAATTTTTTTCTCCAAATCAATTGATGTTCTCTTCACATTATGGTTCTCTGATCTCAAAACGCCTACAATCCTGTAGTTTACTCAGCTATTGCAATTGTTTGCAATGCCAGATTTAAAAAAAAAAAAAAGCTGTTTCATTTTGCATTACACTCAACTAAAGTTTGTTTTTCTGAATTTTATTGCATATTATTTAAATAGCTTACCTTCTGGTTTATGATTCCCGGGACATAATATGAAAATGTTACGGAAATCCACTTCAACTTTAAACTACGAGCATGACTGAGAAAGGCTGAAACTCCCCCAGTGCATTTTCAGAGGCAGAGTTAAATATAGATTATGTCTTTAATGTACCCAGAATGCCCCGGAGGGTAAACAGTCAAGTCATCACATGTCCTGGGCTAGCTTGTAATCCTTCTTTCCTCCCCCCTGCTCAGTCACAGCTTCCTTCACCCACAAGCAATCCTATGAGCAGTTCAGCTGTTTCTTGGATTGTGGCTGTTCCTACCAGCTTCTCTAACCTGGTGGACATAAGAACTGCATCCAGTCAGAAATGATTTTCAGCAATCAATTTGAGGTGCACAGGGCACGTTTGTGCATGAAACGCTGCAACTCATATTCACAGTTAAAAATGTTGGTGACTCCACTATGTGCATACGTAGCTGGAAAAATTAATCAAGCTATAGCTTTCCTTCCGGAGAAGGAAATGGCAAACCACTCCAGTATCTTTGCCAAGAAAACCCCAAATGAGGTCACAGAGAGTTGGGTACAACTGAAATGACTGAACAACAAAAAAAATATTCATTTACACAGTGCAGTTATTATCAGCAATGAGTCTATTTCCTTTCATTTTTCAAAGTTTCTGAGGATTTTTTTAGTGTCATACCAAGCTTGGAACCTGAGAAAAACTGGAAAAAAAAAACAAACTACATATGCCTCCTATGAGTGCAGGGTATTGCATATATTGAGACAATTATGTTGTATAACTTTGTAAATTACCATTTTTTTGGTCTGTTTTTAAAACTTTGTTACAACAGAGGACTGAGGTGACGTGAAAACAAAAGATACCAATAAAAAGGAAAAAAAATTATTTTGGGAAAATGAGTTACTCTGATCCCTGAGCTCTTTTTTTTTTTTGAATGCTCATTTCATTTCTTCTTTTATTTAATAAATACATTTAATTTGTTTCTTTGGTGTTTCAGTGGATCAGTGAGTTCGTCATTGCGGTTATTTTCTTCAACAATGCTGAACATAATCCATCCGTTTCTACTGCCATGCAGCTCTTGGCCATGTCCTGAAAATTCTCAGGGTGGAGGAGAGGCTAACCTTCTAAAGACCTTCTTTTAGATTTCTTCATATTTCATGGCTCTTCCCTGTCATCCTTTCTTTTGAGCATGTGACTTTGAGCACGTGCCTCTCCCTTGGACTTCCAATAATGTAGGAAGAGAGATTTCTTTTCCCTTCAATTTCAGAAGCAATGGTAGCTATGACTCAAGATCATGAATGCCATCAAGAAAATGTGTTTACCTAAGTGAACCTGAGACTGGCCCTCAAGTCCCTGGCTGCCTCTTTTGCTATGTGACTTCTGTGGTTTTTGTTTCCTCTGAGCATAGATAACCAAAGAGATTTCTGAAAAGATGGTTATTTCCAGCCTAGGTAGCTACATTGTGAGTATGAGAGTTCCTAGGTTCCTAAGTCACTGTGGGTTGTCCAGCAGGAAATTCTCACTACAATTAGCCCACTTCTAAAAAAAAAAGTTTCTCTCCCACCAGAAGAAACTTCCAGAAGGATGCTGAGTTGGAAGAAATGAGACTATCTAGGAGACCCATACTTGTGAGTCGAGCAAACAGAGCCAGTCAGAGGTGAAAGTGAAATATTTGTTCAATACCCAAAAAAGTCTTTATCTTTGGAAAGAGTATTACAGTTGTGATGTGTTATTGTTTTCTGTTTTAAGTATCTATAATGCACAATTTGAGTCTCTTGTGTTTTAAACATTTCTTTTGTGGTAGCAGAAATAAAAATATTTACTATACCTAAAAAAACAAAATTAAAACAAAACAGTGCAAGAAAATGTTGCATGAATACCAATGCAGCACATTCCCCTGTGGAAAATACATGGAAGAATATGAACAAGAATTACACAAGAGGAGGAGTGAACCAGTTGTGACTTTCACTACTGGAGGAAGTACTCACATCTTCAAGAGCACATATCCAGGAATTATTTTCATGTACAATCTAATCTCCCTTTTAAAATTTGATTTAAATTATTTTGGTTAATTTTATTTCTTCTAGGTTTGCCCTATAATAAGGTGGAAAACAAATGGTTATCGCCATGCATTAAGTGATTCTTCAGAAACAGTGACTCAGAAATCTTCATTCTCCACATCTAAACATCCCATCTCCTTTACCTTTCCTCAGAGACCTTATTTTTCATCCTGTGAAATATTTTTGTTCTGCTGCTCTTGATCCCCCTCAAAATTTTTCATATTCTTCTAAAATGTGTAGGTTAAAACTTCAATCAATACAAGTTTTCTTTGCTTTGGGAAAAATTTATATTCAGAAATTTGAATTTTTAAAATTTATTTTTATTTGAATTTTAAATTCAAATTGAATTTTAAAAATCTAGTCACTATATATTTCCTTTAAAATAGTGCCTTTGAAGCATCTCTGACATGTTCCAAAGGGTCCAGGGGATCCTTAGGGGATTTCTTAGCATATTGCCAGAGACCATCTGGGAATTTAACTATTATTATTAGTAGTAGTAGTAGTATCATTATAATCATCATCATCATTATTATTATTATTATCATTTTCATTATTATTATTTTTAAAATGAGGTCAACTTTATCTGTCAAAGAACAGACATGTCAATCATAATAAGGGTACAAAGATAATAATGATACTTTGCAGTTGCATGATATTATTTTTTTCAAAGCACTTCATACTTTGTAAAGAACTTCCCTATTAAAATGTTAAATGGACCTGTCAAGCCAAGAGCTCTGTAACAAAATCACCATCCCAGTCCTTCACAAGTTAAAAAAAAAAAATGAATTCCTGGGGAAATAAGCTTTTATTTAAAAAAACAAACTTTGAATTATGAAGGAAGGGAAAGTTGGCAGGCCGCTTCCTAAAGCCCCAAAAAGCTGTTGAAAAGCACTTCCCAGGATGATGACAGACAATAATTTATTCATGGTCCAGATGAACAATAGAGCAATTTAACACCAGCATACACCTCTGTGCCTACCAAGCCCCTCTACCTGATGTCATCTCTCTCATATTTTCTCTTTTCTCCAGATCTTGTTACTTCTCTTCATTAATTTGGAATGCCAACTTCAATAGCCTCCTAATTTGTCTCCTTGCCTCCATCCTCTTGCCTCTCTAATAAATCCTACTGTTAGGTTAATCTTCCTAAAACAACACCTTTGAGGTACCACCTCACATCTATCACATTAGCTAGTATCACAGAAAAGGAAAACGTCAAAAGCTGGAGGAGATCGACAAAAAGAGACACTAATGCCATGTTAATGGAGTTGTGAATTGGTCCAACCATTCTGGAGAACCACTTGGAACTACACCCAAAGGGCCATCAAACAGTGCATACCCTTTGACCCAGCAATACCTGTACTAGGTCCATAACTCAAAGAGATCAAAGAAAAAGGAAAAGGACTTATATATACAAAAATATTCATAGCAACTCTTTTTGTGGTGGTAAAGAATTAGAAATTTTGGGGGGATAGCCATCAATTGGGGAATAATTAAACAAGTAGTGATATATTGTTGTGATGGAATACTATTATACTATAAGAATGATAGACAGGATGGTTTCAAGAAAACCTAGAAAGATTTACATGAACTGATCCAAGTGAAGTAAGCAGAACCAGGAGAACATTGTATACAGTAAAAGCAATATTTTAACAATAATCAACTATGAAAACTTACCTATTCTGATCAGTTTATCTGAGACAATTTCAAAGGACTCATCAAGAAAAATGCTATCTACATCCAGAGAGAGAACTTTGAGCTCAGATTTAAACATACTTTTTTCACTTACTTTATTTTTCTTGCTTTTTTTTTTTTTTTTGGCAACATGACTAAAAAGGAAACATGTTTTGCATGACTTCACTTGTATAATTGATATCATCTCCTTTGCCTTCTCAAAAGGAGCTGGAGGGAGGGAGAGAAGTGGGAAATCAAAAAAAAAATTTTTAAGGCAATTAGGGTTAAGTGACTTGCCCAGGGTTACACAGCTAGTAAGTGTTAAGTGTGTGGTCTGAGGCCAGATTTGAACTCAGGTCCTCCTGACTTCAGGGCCAGTGCTCTATCCACGGAAATGAAAATTTTTAAAAATGAATGTTAAAGTAAATAAAGTATGATTTTTTAAATCACTTTTACCATGTCAAAAATTTCCACAGACTCTTCTTCACCCATAGGATAAAGTTCAAACTCCTTAGCCTGGCATTCAAGACATTCAAAGTTCACTGTAATTTGACTCTTCTCCTAACCATTCCACTTTATCTCCCCCTACTCCAGTTAGCCCAGTCTCTTCACAGTTCCCAGAACACATCTTCACACATTCTCATTTTCACTCCTTTATTACTGGTCTCCCTGCCTGGATATCATTCCAGGATTACTGTTGCCTATGTAATTCCAATCCATCCTTCAGTCTCTAATTTAATTTTACTTCCTCAACACTGGAATAAAGAGGCAAGAAAGTGACTCAGGGCAGTGGTATTGTACTCTGAAACAGGGCCACTTAACCATCATATATAAGGCTCCCTGTGTACACATTAACTTAGAAAACCACATATTAACATTATTTATGTTTTGTTGTATTTTTACTTACTTTGTTAAATATTTCCCAATTGCATTTTTATCTGATTCGAGCACTCAAAAAAGTGTTATAGCCATATATAGCCAACAGGCCATGTGTTCAACACCTCTGCTATTGACAGCTAGACTTGGAGTCAGAAAAGACTTGGATTTCATTCCTAGTTCTGAGACTTGCTACCTATATGGTGGTGGGTGAATCATTTAGTGTCTTTGAGCCTTAATTTCATTTATTAGATTAAATTTATTAAATTAAGTTAATGTCAGTAGCTCTTAATCTCACAGGGTTGTTGTGAGGACCAAATGACAGTGCATAGTACATAGTACATAGTACATGTACATAGTACATAAAAGGTACCTAATAAATGTGGATTAGTTGATTTACATAAAACGTTTTGGAAACCCTAAAGCAAAAGACAGTTATTATGACCATTCCCTTCTTGTCATTTTAGTTGATGGAATTCAGATAG